TGAAACAGGATGTGTGACAGACACTGTGTAGAAACACTCTCAGATCTAGAAAAAATATCTTTTAATTTCAGTTTCTCCAATTATGTTTAAAAAGGCTCTTCGACCTTGCTGCAGTGGTTTTCTATGCCTACATTGGGGGTTTTTATGAGTTTTGTTTAGAACTTTCATTTTTAATTTCACTGTTTCTTATCGAGGCTTAAAGAGTCATTGGACATAGGACAGTGCTTGGTTATTTTACGTTACCTGATGTGCTCAAGCAGAAAAAAATTATCTCCTCTGGAACATCTGCGAGTATTTAAAAAAACCCTGAAACCAACAAACAAAACAAAAAACCCTCTCAACAAAAAACCCAGGAAAACTCACCCACTCCCTGCTCTCCCCCCCACCTTTCTTCAACTCAAACCTGTTCACCAAGGAGATCGTACAATTCAGCTGTATTTGCTCTGACAGCTATGAGTCACAGTTCTGGTGTCTGTGCTTGATAGTCTTTAATTATGTATGTACTAATTTGCAGCCCTGATTTAACTAGCTTTTTTTCCTGGTATCATAATGAATCATTTTTTTTTTTACAATCAAATAAGGCAATTTCTGGTTTTAAAAAAGGCTGAGAATGAACTAGAATTACTGTTGTTACAGTGCCTTGTTCCCGAGTGCCGTGGTCGGTCCTTCACAGCTGACAGAAGCTCTCCCTTAACCACTACAGTGGACTGGCAGTCTATTAAGTAAGCATGTCTTCCCTCCTGCACAAAAAAGTAATGCCAACAGGGTACTCAAAAAATGACAAGATGGGTCAACTCATGTTCCACTGTGCAATGTTAATAATCTAACTCTTTTGCAGCAAGCGCTCTTCAACGTTTGTGTCACAAAGCAGTTGTTTTATCGGAGCAGTGGTACACTGTGTAACCTACTCCATGTAATAGCTTCCTGGAAATTGCTTCTACCGTTACCGAGTACTTTGAGAAACGTTCAGCTTATGCTCTTTGCAGTTTTTATTGATCATTTCTAATTGCATCTATGATTTAATGATTCCCTTTAATGAGCTGTTAAGTCAGCTAGAAAAGCCCTATTGAATTATATTGGTCAGCTGTGCCAGTCGAATGAGCTGAAAGTAAATTTGAGGGTTAAAGATCTTAGGCTGAAGTGATATTGTGTCCTCTGGTCCTTAAGGTACACTCAGAAGAAAGTAATAATGCTTTGCCTGCCTATTCATCTACTTTCTATGTCTAATCAGCAAGTAGGTATGTCTAAAATTTGAGACCTTTGCTATGGGGGAACAAGTCACTGTTTTTACAGAAATTAACAGTGTTAAAATGTAGGAAGGGTAGAAAGTGTATCTGGTTTTCATCACATCCTTCTTGCTATGTGCTATTAGCACGATGACCATCCTGCTATTGCCCTGTAGTATCCGTTCAGAAGAGTGTGATGTGTTGTTTCATTCCATTGGCTCACAGCAGTAAGGGTGTCAGCTTGGAAAAAACAGGACTCTGCTTACTTTTTCCCACTTCTAACATTCAGATTCTTTAAGTTCACGTGCACTGTATCAAAAGTCTTAGTGTGACAAATGACATCTAAGTGAGTTTTTCTTTATTAGTCTTCTGTAATAAAAGTAATCTAGAAATCCATTTAAAAAATGGTGCCCATGTTCTCATTAGTAGCTCTAGAGGACACTGTTTATCCCAGCTGCTTAAGCAAAGCTTGACTCAGCTTTAAGGAAAGCTATCAGAGGCAGAACTGGTACACTGCTAGCCTTTTACAACTATAGAGTGAACTACTATTCTTCTTGTGGTCTGAGAAATTTCTTGGACTTTAACAGGTTTAAAATACCAATTTAGCATTCATGGGGGCTGTAATGTCTGACCTCTTTATTTTTAGGTATGGGATCCATCTTATTTTGTGTTCTGTACTTACTTCCACATGAACATGCTCATCAGTGCTAGAAAATCTGAATTTCAACTTAGAGTTGATAGTTATTATCATTTTGGGTCTTACGCATGATTTATACCCATTTATTGAAGTCTGAACTGGAAAGGTCTGTTTCTCCAGCACTGCTGTTTCTAGAATTTACCAGGGCGTTTCTGCTGTCTCCCTTTTCCGTTTGGAAGAGATTGGCTGGATGTACACAGCTGCAGGTCTTGTATGCTGCAATTGAATTGGAAACGTGGTGATGTGTGTCAGTTCATCTCGTGTTTTGCAGGGTGCAGGAGCTGATGTTAGATGATCAGCGAGAAGCAGGACGAATCCCTCGCACAATCGAATGTGAACTGGTTCAAGATCTTGTGGACAGCTGTGTCCCAGGAGATATGGTCACAATTACAGGGATAGTAAAGGTGTCAAGCACTGAGGAAGGTGAAATACATCATCAAAGAACACGTTTTCCTGGGGTGGGGATGTTTTCTAGTGATTACACAAGAACAACAACAGCCACCCCACCTTAATCTGAGCTCTCAAAGTCATAAGCGCATTAAGTGTATGTTTTCTCAGGAGCTACCAAAGTTATACAATGAAGGGTTATTTTGAAAAAGCCAAAACTCACAGAGAGTTGGTTTTGCAACCCACTGGTCTATACACAGCTGTGGGCCTGAATGTGAAGTGCCAGTCTGACATCTGATGTCAGCTGATAGGAAAGCCATCTCTGGACCACTAATGTAGGCAGGACCTCCCTACTTTCTCTCTCACTGTGACTTGTTACTTGCTTAACCTTTTCCCTTTGATGTCTCCTTTAAACATGAGGAGAATTGTCACACTGTTCTGAAGGACTGTTGTCTTTCTTCGTTTATCATCCATAGAGAAATTTTTTAACTTCTTTTGTTTTCTTTTTCTTTTTTTTCGGAGTGAAAAAACATGTTGTGCACAGCTGTAACCATACAATGCAGATAAGTGCAGCATTGTTTTACTCTGAGATTTTTTCCTCTGCTCAGTAATCATTGGGGGATATAAAAAATTATTAATTATTAAGCTGCATCTTTTTTCCTATAAATATTGAGTGGAAATGTTTTATATTCAATTTCAATTTGACTACAATAATGTAATAATTTAAAATTCCTGGAAAACTTAATTTATTCTGGGGGAAAATTCTCTCTCTAGACATATACCCTCCAATTCAGAAAAATATTTTATTGTGTATGTAAATGGGGGAACTTAAAAGAACAAAGATAACTAGAAACTTATTTTGCATCAGTTTTAGAAAACGCAGATGTTCAATACCTAAACATTAACATTTTGCGTGTGGTGGTACATGATATTTCTGAATTACTCTGTGCTATTTGTAGATAATATGAGTACTTAATGATAGAAAAAATGTTCCATCATCCTTTCTCTATTTTCCTAACAGGAGCTTCTAGAAATAAGAATGACAAATGTATGTTCTTGTTGTACATTGAGGCAAATTCTGTCACCAACAGTAAAGGACAAAAAATAAAGAACTTTGACGACGAGACTTTTCAGAGGTCATTCATGGAGTTTTCACTTAAAGATCTCTATGCTGTCCAAGAAATTCAAGCTGAAGAAAATCTGTTCAGGCTCATCGTAAAGTAAGTTGTGTCAGACCTAGACTAGGTCTAGGATTAGATTTAGGAATCAGTATGACCATCTTCAGACAAATGTGACAACTAATCTGAAAACTAATCTTAAATGTCTAAGGCTTGTGCAATAGAATCCACAGAGATTTAACAAACTTTAGTGGGCAAGAAACTTGAGAGAAAGTGAAAATACTGCAGTGGGGGTATTAGAACTTTGGGAGGAGTTTAAGGATGCAAGAAATTATCTGTGTTCAACCTTGAGACGGAAAGCTGTGGGTAAAATGAGTAAATTCAACTTAAAATGCTGTTTTGCTCTCTGCTCTGCTTCGCTACAGTCGAGGGAAAAAGGTGCAAGAACTGAGCAGAGGGTGTGAAGGACCCTCAGTTCAGGCTGAGAGGTGCTCTTCCAGCCAGGGTGTCCCTCAGGCCCTCCCAGTGGAGTCAGCACAAAATTGGCACTTTAAAAGGAGTGTTACAGGTAGTTACTTGATTAAGATAAGAATAGGTGTGTAAATCACTAAGAAGATGGTTCTCCTCTGTGGGAACTCAAAGCTTTTTCTTACTTCAAGCACTTCTGGTTATCTAAAAATGTCAAGAAATTTGATGCTGCTGATTTAAGCCAATTCTGTTGGAAATTCAGCAACAGCTAACCGAAAGTTTTATATGCTTATAAAGGTATTCTGTGACAAGAGACAGAACAAGTGATTATTTACTAGTAGTGTGAGAATTATATCCTCCTTATGTTACATTGTGCTTTGTTTTTCAGCTCTCTTTGTCCTGCAATCTATGGCCATGAGGTAGGTGTAATTTAACAATTCTGCTTGCAATAACATTTTGAAATGTTTATGCTGCAGTAAACTCCTAAAGGATTTGCAACGCTTACCTGGGGTGGGAGGAAGGGGCAGGGACTGTTTTTACAGGTGTCTGTGACTCCCAGTCACTTTCGGTGTCAAGGAAGTGACAGCCTTACACCCCTAAGTTCAGTCATCCAGAAGGAAAGAGTTATTACATCCAGTTCTAGGGAGCTGTCATTACTGGTCACTTTGATCAAACACTTACTGGTGTTGGTTATGTACCACACAGATTGTAAAGGCAGGTTTGGCCCTGGCCTTATTTGGAGGATGTCAGAAGTTTGTGGATGACAAGAACAGAATCCCAGTGCGAGGAGATCCACATGTTCTGGTTGTTGGAGATCCAGGATTAGGAAAAAGTCAAATGCTGCAAGTATGGTTTGATTTATTACTATATTCTGTTTTTCTCTAAGAGCTTGTTATCTTGACTTCTTGTCATCATGGTGGGATAGCTGTGCTAGGACCAAAGGGTTGCTTGAGCCTGGCTGGAGCTGTCTTTTCTTGTAGGATACCTCAAATATAGGATAGTACCCAAAGGGGTACCCTGCTATCCTCTCCTTCCAGGTAGCCTTGCAGAAAGGCCTGTTAAAACACTTAAAGCAGTTATACGTGGTCAGGTCTGTGGGCTTTCATGTACAGGCTTAAAGGTTTGCTGTCCTGCCCTTATATAGCTTTGTCTCACCAACCCTTTTCCACAGTGAGAAGGTTCACGCTTTCTGCTGTTTGTTTAGCTGGTCTACTGTGAAACAAAATAAGTGCACTCTAGGAACAAATACAGCTTTAAACACCATGTAACTTGCCTCCTGTGAGGTTTACTTCTGTTCTCTTACCCTATTTCTATGTTGCCAGCACAGATCTTGGCTTTTTGGGAAAGGGACCTGCTGCTGCATTTGAGCTTTAATCTTGGTAGGCATTTCTGCATAACCATGACAAAATCAACTAGTAATAGATTTCTTTTTTCATGTGTGGGTGTTTTAACCTGAGTGGTTTTAAAGTTCTGTGGCATTTCCCATGGTGGCTGACTGTAAAGTGAAAGAGGGACAGAGTTCACCTAGATCTGCAGCATTGAATACCTTGTTTAAAAAGTCCAAGTCTTTCTAATGTGGACCTGTTATGTTAGGATATGACTTGCAATAACTTAACTAAAGTGATGAATTTGTATGCAAGCATCTTAAATTTTTAATTTTTTTTTTTGAATGGGGAGTCTCCAGCACAGAGTAGCTGATTTTTCACATTGTTACTAAATAACAGAATGCCATTCAAGAAAAGCTTTGTCAGTACTTGGTTTCTCAGATATGACCCTGAGACAAGACTCCTCTCAGCTGTCACTGTCACAAGAAAAAAAAAATCCTAAGAAGGAAACCAAAGCTGTGTAGAAGCCAGAGTTGTGCATTTTTGGGGTTTGTTTTGTTTTGTTTGTTTGTTTTGTTGAGGTTTTTTTATTCTATACTTGTTGCCTGCCATATATCTGGTAGTGAACCAGTGTGCTTTGGGTGTTATCTTTTAAATAAAACAGAGGCTCCTGTTACTATAGATACAGAGTAACTGTAGATATTATCTGAGAAAATCCAGTTGTAACTGTATTCTAGGCAAATTGACTGTGTGTTCAAGCTTACCATGCTTTGCTTCTCTAGTTCATACTTGAAATTGTAGGCTGCTTGCTGGATACTAGAGGCATGGAGAAGACTAGGACTGACCTTTATCCCTTAGTTGTGGGGAGAACTATGCATGCTTTCTCTGAAGCAGCCTGTGTTGGGTACCAGGGTAAGATACTAGTCTAAATAGACCTTGGGGTCTGAAGATACAGAAACTATTTGTCTGCAATTCCATGACAGCATGTTCCCAAGCATTTCAACATATATTTAAAATGTGCTTTAAGTGCTGTGCCCAAGGTCCTAGTAATTTTGCTATCACAGTAGACATGGCTGTGCTGCAAGTGACCCAAGTTATTCCTACTGCTTTGCAGAAGTATGTCTCTTGTGGTTGCAAGGAGTTACAACTTTACTGTTGAGCCGTGTTAAGTAGAAAGAAACAAATTTGGGTTTACTCTGAGTTGTTTCTCTAGGAATAAAGCTTATGAAATTCTTCACCTTGAGGAGGGAAAAAGTATTTATTTCTCTTCTAGGCAGTGTGTAACATTGCTCCTCGAGGCGTGTATGTTTGTGGTAATACTTCCACCAGCTCTGGCCTGACTGTTACACTGTCTAGAGATGGCACTTCCGGAGATTTTGCCTTGGAAGCTGGTGCTTTAGTGCTTGGAGATCAAGGTAATATATGTAATGCCACAGGTATTATATGACAATATGTGAGGGGTAGAGGTATGTGTGCTGCTGCGTCTTAAGATTAACTTGCTTAATCTTGGACTAAAAATGTACATTTAAAGTATGATATTGGCTTTCCATGCCTTGGGATGTCCTCAGCTTTCCCAGTCACTTCTCTGAAGGTGATTCCTTCTTTCTTAGGGTGTAGGAAAACTTGAGTTCTGAAATTCACATGCCAAACTTACTGACCTTATCAAAGAACGAGGATTTTTTTGTTCAGAAATGTAACTTGATAACAGCTGCTGGGCTCTTACTGTTTTTGAAAAAGAGCCACCTCATGGGATTTGTTGTCTCTTTTAAAAAGCTTATTTCATCATCTTAATCCACAAGTCAGACTGACTTCATAATGGTTTGGCTGCATCACCATGAAATGAAAACAAACCTTGCTGAAATGGAGACTGTGTGGTGTCTCCTGCAGTCCCTAGGATGCTAGGCTGGACTTCTGATGTAGCACTGGATTGTAGCACACACCTGTCCATCAGTTAATATGTTTTCTAATAAGTCTTTGTCCTATTTTAATTGCTTCCAGGAATTTGTGGAATAGATGAATTTGATAAGATGGGAAACCAGCATCAGGCTTTGTTGGAAGCCATGGAACAGCAAAGCATCAGCCTTGCCAAGGCTGGCATTGTTTGCAGTTTGCCAGCTCGGACATCTATTGTTGCTGCAGCAAACCCCGTTGGAGGACATTATAACAAAGCCAAAACAGTGTCTGAGAACTTAAAGTGAGCACTTTCTGAAATGCTTTTATAGTTCACATTCAGGAGTAGCTTGTTCCAGCAGTTTTTTAGCTTGTGCATAATTGCTTCCTAGTTTTCTGGAGCTTGAACACAAACTTTAATAATTTTTGGTGGCTTTTGAGAGAGAAATTGCTGTTCTACTTTATTGTGAATGAACAGACAGGATTTTTTACATGTAGTTAGAGTGGAACAGAGTTGCTATAATGTATCCTCTTCTTTGAGCACTATGTAGTTTCTTGTCTTTACTCTAGAATGGGGAGTGCTTTACTGTCAAGATTTGATCTAGTTTTCATTTTGCTGGACACCCCGAATGAAGATCACGATCACTTGCTGTCTGAACATGTGATGGCAATCCGAGCTGGCAAGCAGGCAGTATACAGCAGTGCTGTTGTGACTCATACCAGTGCACAGGATCACTCTGTTCTCAAAACACTTTCAGATCAACCACTGCTTGAAAGACTAAAGGTAGGACTTGTCCTGTGACTGCTGCTCTGCCCCTTGCATCAGGTCCTGGTGACCCTGACCTGCTGGATGTCCTCAGTCTCCCACTCACATTCTCCTCGTGACAATTGCCTCTGCATTAGAGGAAGCATTTAAAGCTCCAGCCACCAGTTTCTAGCAATTGCCTCTTGTAGCTAACAGTACCTATCCTGCTGGAAGATGTGGCTCAAGCCATCTTCCTCACATGGAAGATTATATGAGCTGGTGGTTTTTTTGGATTTAGTAGTGAGAAGACATTTTGCATGAGATGCTCTAAAGCAAACTTACTGTGTTAGGTTTCGATAATGAGCTACAGAACTAGAGTGGATATGGTAATTTGATATAACATGATATGTGGTGAAGTATTGAACCCAAAGAAAGCAGTATGTAAACAAATTCTTGGGCATCTGCAACTCATGACAGATTCAGGGATTATAGGAGAGGAAACATATTTCTCATTAGATGTCAGTTATGAGTTTGAGAACTCATATTGTCAAATGCCAGGTCTTGGGAGACAGTCCTACTGGAGATAAACCCATGCACTTTTGGAAATGGGATATCAGCAGTTATGGTTTAGTCTTCTGTGGAGCTATAACAATAGGGAATTGGGATTTTTCTCATATTGAAAAAGAATTCATTATATACTTAAATCATATTTGGCCCTTATGATTGCAAATGAGAAGCCTTGGCTGCTTTTTCTGAAATGGCCAAGTGTGTGTGTTTGTGTCTGAGCACAGTGAATAAACTTTAAGTACACTGTTCACACATGAAGCACTAAAGCCTTTGTAGTGATGACTTCACCAGATAAAGCACAGAAGATGAGGATTCTATATTAAAATTTTTATTGTATAGGCTTCTGACAGACAGAAAACTAAGTTCTTTGTAATTGGTTTAGATCTCAGCAGGAGAAAAATTTGATGCCATTCCATATCAGCTGCTGAGGAAGTATGTTGGATATGCTCGGCAGTATGTTCATCCAAATTTATCTCCAGAAGCTGCCCAGGTCCTCCAGGAATTCTACCTTGAGCTCCGGAAACAGAACCATGGAGCAGACAGTACTCCAATCACCACGAGGCAGCTAGAGTCGCTGATTCGACTTACAGAGGTAAATGAAAGCTGTAATACTGAAGGGATTGAAAGCAAAGAGATTATTCCTAAAGTACTACCAACATCCTGTAATTTTTGACAGCTTCTTTTGACACCACTATGCTTTTTTCTTTTGTTTTTAAAAAAACAACAAAGAGAATGCAAGAGGCTTAGGAATGTTTCAGAGCTACTGTTGCTTAAAGCCTCTTATGAAATAAAACACCCTTGCGTGGGTGGAAAGGGAATCTATCACATCCCACATGGAGAATAAGTAGGTGCAGGCAACCTGCTGCCCATCTTGCACTTAAAATGCTGCTGTTTTGGCAAACACCATGTCTTTATAACACCATTTGTGATCTGCTGCTTCACAAGAATGCACTGTTAAAAATCAAATGAACTCCAAGCTACAGCTTAATAATGCAAGTATGCGGGAGGTGTTATTGACACACTAACAAAAAATAGAAAAATCTTCCTCTATCAGGTTCTATCTCTGCTCCAGAACTTGTGCTTGTTGTAGAGTGACTATAGCCTTTTTTTAATACCAGCTGTAATATATCTTCAATAAACCTTTGTGGTTTTTTTTGTTTTCAGGCAAGATCAAGGCTGGAATTAAGGGAGAAATCTACCAAGGAAGATGCCGAGGATGTAGTAGAAATAATGAAATACAGGTAATATACACTGCTTGTAAAATAAATAAAGCACACAGTGCTATTCATTCAAAACTCCTTGTTTTACATATGCAAACACAGTGAAGAAAACACTATTTCAAGTTTAGGCCCATGATACTAATATTTGGGTTTGTGAGCTGCTCTTTAAAAACTGACAGCAGCCTTAAGTTGAATGCAATTGCTTAGACCTTTGAGTTACGTGATCATAGTGGTTATGTGTATCCATGCACAGTAGTTTAGACATGAGGAGCTGCTGAAGGTTTTTTGTTTTGCATGATTACTCTCTGTTGTTGCAGTTGAACAATTAACATTTAAAAGTAATCTGGACAAAGCAAGTTCCCTAGATAGTGACTTTCTTGACAGGGGATGGTTTCCTATGTGGCTTCTGAAAGCCTTCTCAAGCAGTTACGTTTTAGGAAGCAAATCCAGGTATGCTTGCTTTTACCTCCTGTTGATCTTCTTAAAATCTGTTTTTAGCATGCTGGGAACCTACTCTGATGAGTTTGGAAAACTGCACTTTGAGCGTTCACAGCACGGGTCTGGGATGAGCAACCGGTCACAAGTGAAAAGATTTGTTTCTGCTCTTAACAGTATTGCAGAAAGAACTTACAACAATCTCTTCGACTTGCAGCAGCTTCGACAGGTTGCAAAGGAACTACAAACCCGAGTAAGTTTGGAAATCAGACATTTCTTCAATAGCAAACTGCAAAACCGGTTAAAGTTATTTATTGGAAAATGGAAAGTAGAAAAGACACATCTGTTGTGCCTCTTTGCAATGAGAAGAAATAACCAATTTACTGCTTCTGTGCTGAACAGTCTTCCTGAAGTGCCTTTGTTTACTAACCTCACTAGCTGTTTGGCAGTAGCAACTCCTTGCACTAGTAAAGACAAATGTATTTTACCCTGTAATTGATTTGCATTCTGTTCTTTTGAGGGACTTCAGCCAAGCAAAAATATTGATAGCTATTTCTACTCCTTGCTTCATGAAAAAGAGCTTTAAATGCCAATGTAAAACTTAAAACTGGATTTCAGATGTAATGAGTGAAAAGTAGTGATCATGAATTTCTCTGTATGAAACTTATTATGGGCAGTGGTGCTGTTCTTCCTGTTACCTGGTGATCCTGCCTGCTGGGGCAAGATGGCTTCAGTTTCCAAACCTGTTGAAATGTTGACTGTACATGAGACTGGATTCAGTGTGAATCCTGTCTGACAGCATAGGTTGCTGCCAGCTCTCTTCTCCCAGGATCATCATTAATTCAGTGATTACTTACTTAAACTTAATTCAATTAACTCTAATTCTCCCTTCATACATAGAATATTTTTTGCCCATTCAAAGTTCTATACCTGGAAATCAGTAAGAGTTGTAGACATCAGGCTATTCTTTGGTAGATAATTCTGTTTCAGAACTTGAATTTATACATATGTAACTGTATATTTTCTGCATGTCATAAAGTGGAGAACACTACTTCTGTGTAACCCTACAGTAAAAGTAGTGTGTAAGTAAAGCACAAAAGGCTGGGACTGATGATATGCCACCTCCTTGTAGGTCAACAGTTTGCTAAGGAAACTAACCTATTCTTAGCTCACTCTATTTCACAATGTTCTTAAAACTGTTTATGTTGCTTTACATCAGATGAAGAGTCATTCTCCAAATTGGTATTTTTGTCTTTATTTTCCCAGGTACCTGATTTTGAAAGCTTTATCGAATCCCTAAATGATCAGGGTTATCTTTTGAAAAAAGGTTCAAGAGTTTATCAGCTTCAGACTATGTGAAAAGAGGAAGTGGTAAACTTTCTTAAGACATAATCTTTATACCTGGACTGGACTGAAGGACCTGCAGCCATGAGGCACACTGAACTGCAGCCTGGCATAGTGAGCAGTGCACTGCTGCTTACTGAGGTGTGAGAGACCTTTTCAGAAACCAGCACTGCCCACAGGCTTGCGTTAGAGCTGCTGTAGGACAAACTGGCACATGGTATTGCTGCTTGACTCATCCAATACGTCTGCTAGCCCCAACGAGACCCTGCAGGACTGTGCCTTGTCATCTTTGAGGAAAGTGTGTTTTTATATCGACAGTATTACACTGCCATAACAGATTTGACTTCTAAAAGAGATGTTGGACCCACAAATTTTAAACCAGAAATCTTTCATGAGAAGATGATGTGACCAGTATTTTCAGTACTGTAGCTCATTGGAGGAATTTAAAGTTTAGAAATTTTTCCGAAAAGTTGGGAACCTTCATGTTGAGACAACAGTTGTTACAGTTGTTATGAAGTGACACCTTATTGAAACTGACTTATTTTCTGCTTTTGAAGCTTGATGTTTATCGGTCTTGGAAGCTGAGAATTTATTTGAAATGCAAATCTGGTTTAAGAAAATACCCTTATTACAATTTTTGAGAACAGGAATTGGATTTTGACTTTCATTAAACTTTACATATGAGAAATATTACTTGTTCAAGACTGTTCCATGGTGTTAATGATCATTAAAAGATATGTAACACAAACGGGTTATATATGCTTCTGTGTAACTGTTCCTGACACAGAAGAATGTGTGTTCAGCAAGAGTACAGTGCTGAATGTTTCCTGACTTGGACAAAATCAGAATCAGGGGCTGGTGCAATAAAACAGCAGATGAGAAGTTTTCAGTGTAACTATTAAAAAAAACCCAAGAAGGCATTGCTGATTCTTCTGTTTTCCCTCTTTTATTTCTAAGGTAATACATGACAGATAACAAAAGCAGAAATAGACAACAAGCTTCAGTATTTGTCTAATTTAAGTGATGTAAGGGTGTGATGCACCATCCTTCCACAACCATTTGGTACAAAAATACAGGCTTTACAGGTTTGAAAGAACATATTTAGCAGTTTAAGGCTGCCTTAGTCTTAACCTACTTCAATATACTTGAAATTGAAAAGTGGTTGGACAGATGAAGTGCTTAAAAGAACAAAAAATTGCAGTTCTACATCTAATCTCTGAAGGGGCAAGCAGCCTGCCCTGTCCAGGGTTTGTTTGTTCCCTGTTTAACTGTGGCTAATGGCTCTTTGCAATGTGTCAGGCTGTGTGGGAACACGGGAGCTGTTGTCTGTCCGTGTGTGTTAGTGTTTGGATGGCAGAGCAAAGACACTTTGCAAACTGGGACTTAATCCCACAGGAAGAAGCAACCTCGTGCATCAGCTAATCAGAAGCAGGTGTCCGATACCGATTTTCACCTTTGCCAACAGATTAATACAGTGTTAGGGGCATAGGAACAAGCTTCAGAAGCAAATAAACGACTGCACCTGGAAAAGTAAACTCCTCTTATTTCTCCTCGAGCTAAAGTAAACGCGGGGGAGGGAGAGCAAAGAGCAAGTACCGAGAACGAGAGACCACTTCACGTTCTCCGAGAAGTCTCTTAGGCTAACGCAAACCTCCACTTCTCCCCGCCAAGGAGCGCGGGAGCGGATGGCGGCGG